GATTTTTATCTTGAGAGGCGCTATAGAAATGATATTTTCTTCTTCTTCTTAACATGAGTCCGATACCCCCACCCCACCACCCGCCGCCATCAGACATCTGGAACTTTTCCCTGCTGTGTGAACGCAGCCGAAAGGACAAGTTCCGGTACAAAAGTGGTGTGTCTGAAAACACAGTTCCGGTTAAAACCCGGATTGAATTGTCCGCAAATGTTCCAGAATGTCTGTCTGAAAAGGGCTTAAGAGCTGTGATTGGTCCATAATGGTGGGCCAATCATAGTGCTCTCTCTATCTGCTTAGTGAACAAATCACAGAGCTTTATCCGCTTTGTGGGCCAATCAGGGCACTCTATATGCCTGGTGGATGGGATGATGCAACATTGTCCAGTGGAATGCGGAGATCATTTGAAAGACAACGGTAGAACCCGCCCCACAACCGACAGCCGTCAATGGAGCGTGGCCAGACTAAATAATACATTTATTTAGTCTGGCTTGCCAGGCTAAACAATTGCACCAGTAATATCCAAAACAGAATACACAAGCACAGAGACTAAAAATCCCGAAACAGTTTCCAGGCGAGACCGAGGCTCTACTGAGGCCTTTCCACGGAGCTAGCTCTGTGGTCACATGGGTCTGATGCTCACAGAATTTTAGGCTTTTAATACACTTAAACAGAAGAGTGAGAAAAAAATTCACCCCCCCTCAGAGTTGTCATGAGTGTAAACTAGATAATTTAAACCAAAAAATGTTTTGGTACCAGGCTGTATTTCTGCTGTGAAATTGGTATTTTTAACATGGGAGTCAATGAGGATTTGCTCGTTTCTGACACCAGCCCCCAGCGGATGAGGGTGGAACTGCAATTTTTGGTACTTCCGGGTTGTGACCAATTTTAGAGCAGCATTGTGGGGGCTTGGCTGCGCCTCACCTGGAAAAAAGACGAGAGCAGACGGAAGCAGCAGGGGGAGTGGCTGAAAGCCGGCGTTTAAGTCGAACAGATGTCCCTGCATGTGTAACTCGGGGGTGACGATGGCTGAAGATATCGTGTTAGAGTTCATACTTGTTTAATTATTTATTTTAATTCTGGTGCCTTTGTGTTTATTGGGGGGCTGGAGTCATTCCCTGTGCCAAGTTTGGCATCCGTGGGGTCAAAGGCTGCTGCATGGCGGCTAAAAATGCACATTTTACATCTAAAGTTGAAAAAATGGAGGGAAAAGGGATAACTTCTGAAAGCTTTGATGTAGGGAGCTCAAATTTTTATTTGTTCATCATGGAGGCAAGCCATGCAGTGTACAAAATGTCAGCATCTCAGCACTTTGGGACGTGTCAAAAGTCACATGGGTCAACCATCAGAGTGGATGTGGCCTTTTGGTCAACTTTTTTCTTATAATTCCAGCACACTTTGAGCTACGATGCCAAATTTAGAGTATGCTTATTAGGGGGTTGTGCCAAGTTTGACATCCGTGGGGTCAAAGGCTGTTGCACTGCGCCTAAAAATGCACATTTTACATCTAAAGTTGAAAAAATGGAGGGAAAAGGGATAACTTCTGAAAACTTTGACCAAGGGAGCTGAAATTTTCATTTGTTCATTATGGGGGGCGAGCCATGAACTGTACAAAATTCACTGTCTCAGCATCTTGGGAACTGTCAAAAGTCACAAGGGTCAACCATCAACTTTGTACAGACGTCAGTAGAATGTGGTTCCAAGAACTTTATCTAATAGCGTTATAAGAACTGTAGTCAATCATAAATAACATTGTGAAGACATTAGAAGAATGTGGTTCTAAGAATTTTTTCTAACAATATTAAGAGAACTTTAATCAACCATAAATAACGTTTGCCATAGCTAAAATCAGTGAAGTAGACAATTCAGATATTCAACTATTCAGATGATAGTCAACTTTATATTACTCTTTCACCAGGTAACTGAACCCATTCAAACCCTAAATAAATGCATCAAGCTAATTAATGGATGAACATGTGACAAATTTCTCCAACTAAATAGAAATAAAACTGAGGTAATTGTTTTCAGACCAAAAGATGAGTGATCAAGAGTCAGTGCTCAGCTTGAAACTAACCAGGCCCGAAATCTGGGTGTAATTATCCTCCAGAGTCACAAGTCACAAGGGTCAACCATCAACGTTGTACAGACGTCAGTAGAATGTGGTTCCAAGAATGTAATCTAATAGCGTTATGAGAACTGTAGTCAATCATAAATAACATTGTGAAGACATTAGAAGAATGTGGCTCTAAGAATGTTTTCTAACAATATTAAGAGAACTTTAATCAACCATAAATGACGTTGTTACCATGTTCTGAGAACAAGTTTCAAAAAATGTTCATTAACAACGTAATGGGAACTTTCATCATTCCCAGATAATGTTGTGAACATGTTCTGAGAATGTGATCCCACGAATGTTTTCAAACAACATTATGAGAACTTCAGTCAATCACGAATAACGTTGTTAAGACGTTCCAATAATGTGGTTCTAAGACTGTTTTCTAACAAACATTATTAGAACTTTCATCAATCATAAATAATGTTGTGAAGACATTATATGAATGTGGTTCTAAGAATGCTTTCCAACAACATTGTGAGAACTTTCGTCAATCATGAATAACGTTGTAAAGACATTATAAGAACGTGGTTCTAAAAATGTCTTCCAACAACATTGTGAGAACTTTCATCAATCACAGATGACGTTGTTACCATGTTCCGAGAATGTGGTTCTAAAAATGTTCTCTAACAACGTTATGAGAATTTTCATCAATCATGAATAACGTTGTAAAGACATAAGAACGTGGTTCTAAGAATGTTTTCAAATAACACTAAGGAAACTTTAATCAATCATAAATAATAGGAGTTGCATGACTTAATTTTTTTTAAAGTCGACAGTCAAGTAATGAAAATCGAGTCGACTTCGACTAGTCGTTGATGACGTCATACACCTGAAGCGGCACAGGGGTGGGGGGATGGGGGGGGTCGTTAGGTTCGCTGGAGTTTTTGACAATTAAAATTGCGCCCACATTTTCTAAGTTAATACATCTCTTTTAACAACGGTAGTTTCTGCATCCTACTTCAGCCCTCTCCCCCCTCCCCCTGCGCAGCAGTCGCAAACTCACTGATGCGCCTGCAGACTCTCAGAGTTCCTGCTGCTCTAAACCTTAAAATAATTATTTCATCTTCTGTTCCTCACTTCTGATTACCTTGAATGGTGTTTGTTTGTTGCAACCAGGTACAAAAACTTGTTTTTATTTGACTATTTTTCTGTCCTGTCTGTTTATTATCTTCCTGCATCTCCTCTCAATCCTAAAGAAAAACTGCTACCTGGGTTCACTTATGAGTTACCTTTGAACTGCAGTTCTAAAAGATCTACCGACCACAAAAACAGCGGAGTGCTGCTGCTCGCCGGCCAACTACAACGGGACCGTTTTTGCTGCGGAGTTCGTGCCGGAGCGGAGCGGAGATAGTGGAATTTTGGGGGTGCGTCACCGGAGTACAAAACAGGTGATGTGCCTCGCTCCGCAGCAGCAAAACGCATCAGGCACAAATAACAGACAGAAAATATTAAAGGAAATGAGCCGACATGAACGATTGCGTGTTTAATTTGTTTTTGAGGTGGTGACACCTGATTTGGCGGTGCTCAGGACGCAGATGTCTGGAGCGCGTTAACGATCAGAGCTTTGCATGCGCAAACTGGTTAAGATTAGGATGGGGGTGAGGGGAAGGTAAAATTGCAAGAGGGAAAAAGTCACAGTTTGGTTAAATGTCCGTTTTACCGCCGGTGCCGGTACCGACGCTCTGGCACAGCGTGTCACCTCCGCCTCCCGACGCGCAGGGGCTCATCACCTGCTGTCTTTTCCGAGGACTGCATCTTGTCAGTCATTATCACGTGACAGTGACTAGTCGATGACAGGCATGAAAAGTCACTACAGAGCCGTGAAGTCGACTAGTCAACTAGTTCATACAACCCCTAATAAATAACGTTGTTACCATGTTCCGAGAATGTGGTTCTAAAAATTTTCTCTAACAACGTTATGAGAACTTTCATCAATCATGAATAACGTTGTAAAGACACTGTAAGAATGTGGTTCTAAAAATGTTTTCCAACAACATTGTGAGAACTTTAATCAATCACAGATGAAGTTGTTACCATGTTCAGAGAATGTGGTTCTAAAAATGTTCTCTAACAACGTTATGAGAATTTTCATCAATCATGAATAACGTTGTAAAGACATTATAAGAACGTGGTTCTAAGAATGGTTTCTAACAACACTAAGATAATTTTAATCAATCATAAAGAATGTTGTTACCATGTTCCGAGAATGTGGTTCTAAAAATGTACTCTAACAATGTTATGTGAACTTTCATCAATCATGAATAACGTTGTAAAGACATTATGAGAACGTGGTTCTAAAAATGTTTTCCAGCAACATTGTGAGAACTTTCATCACACAGATAATGTTGTGAACACGTTCCGAGTATGTGGTTCTATGAATGTTTTCAAACAACATAATGAGAACTTTCATCAGTCATGAATAACGTTGTTAAGACGTTCCAATAATGTGGTTCAAAGAATGTTTTCTAACAAACATTGTTAGAACTTTCATCAACCATAAATAACATTGTAAAGACATTACAAGAACATGGTTCTACGAATGTTTTCTTTCAGCATTTTGAGAACTTTAATCAATCACAAAAACATTATATACACGTTCAAAGAGCGTTGTTAAAAAAACGTTTTCTATCACCATTATGAGAACTTTCATCATTCTCAGAACATTTTCTATCAACGTTACAGCAACATTAATAACGTTCAAAGAGTATTTTGAAAACATTACTGTAACAACATTATGTGCTAACATTACAAACACTTTTAAAGAATGTTAGCGAAAGTTATTGGAACATTCCCTGACCACGCCTACTAAACATCCCCCCAGACTGATATTATCTTCAGCTGACCTAAAATACAGCTGATCTCAAACATCGGATGCAAACTTGAGCAATCCGATTTGAAGACATTCAACAAGCTAAAACAGGTCAGAATTTAATCATACATTAATTTATGACAAAAAAGCATACTGAGGTAAATAAAAACAGGAAATGTGTTGCAGTGACAGGTAAGTTAGTTGAGTACTACTGTTTTTGTTTTCTTTTAGTTGAAAGTGTTTAGCTTTTTTTTTCAGATTTTCCCAATCAGTGCATTTAGAAGCTTGGAGTAAAATGTGTTTCGGTTTACATTTAATGTCATCTTGTGATCTTGAAACTTTTTAACTTTCATGAGTCTTTCAATTTGCTTTTTAATATGTTATTGATAAACCTTGGCCGGGTCAGCAGATGGGGGGGGGGGGGTCCTTTCATTAGGATGAATGTAACAAAGGGATTTTCTTAAATTTCTCTTTTATCAGATTTATTTTTCAAAGTATCATAGCTACTTAATAACTTTGTACAAAGACACCCACACCTCATTTTATACTGTTTAAAGTTAGAAAATACGCAAAGGAAAAGAAGAGATTACTATACCCGTGTGCAGTCTCTCCAGGGTGTCCTGAGTCTTCCTTTAGGTCTTCTCCCGGTTGGACGTTCCTGGAAACTCTCACCAGGGACGCATTCAGGAGGCATCCAACCAGATGCCCAACCTTTCAAAAACCAAGAATTTTTTTTTAATTTTCAAATGAAAGGACATTAAACTGAAGATGTTTTTTTACAGATATGTTACTTATTATCTTATTAGAAAGTAAATCATTAAATCTTAATCTGGATACTTTGAGGTCAGAGGTGGTTTAGTGTGATTTTGGAGAAAAGGTTTAAGAGACTGAATCATTAAATGTTGTCTTTCTGTTGTTTCCTTGCAGCTTCATCATGGTGTTTAGAGTAGCAGTGATCGGAGCGGGCCCCTCAGGTCTGACCAGCATCAAGGCGTGTCTAGATGAGGGCTTGGAGCCAACCTGCTTTGAAAGCAGTGATGATATGGGTGGTCTGTGGAAGTTCAAGGCAAGTCATCACTTTTTCAAAAAGAAAATTTTTCTTGCCCGCAAATAGTTTGTGTGAAAATCAATTAAAAGTTATCAGATTTTGGCACCACCCCGTCTGTCTTGAGTCTTCTTGTTATGTCATAACTGTATCCCCGCAGGAAGTCTCAGAGCCCAACAGGGCCAGTATCTATCATTCCCTCACCATCAATTCCTCCAAAGAGATGATGTGCTACAGCGACTTCCCCATCCCAGCTGATTATCCCAACTACATGCACCACTCTAAAATCCTGAAATACTTCAGGATGTATGCAGAGCACTTCAAACTACTTGAACACATTTGCTTCCAGGTAAAAACAGAAGAAAGATTCCCCAAAGTAGTTTAAATAGAAATCTGACAAATCTTAAAGTTCAACTGATATTTTTAGACCTCAGTGAAGAAAGTCACACAGAGGCCAGATTTCTCTCGCACTGGCCAGTGGGAGGTGGTCACGGAGAATAAAGACGGACTAGAGGAGAGACACATCTTTGAAGCAGTTATCTGCTGCACGGGTCACTACACCTATCCTAACCTGCCACTCAAAGACTTCCCAGGTAAATGTGTGTTAAAATAGATTTCATGTTCAGACAAAGGCAAGGCAACATTATCATGCTGTTTTGCAGGAATTGAGACATTTGAAGGAAACTACTTCCACAGTTGGGACTACAAAGGAACAGAGAACATGTATGGTAAGAGGGTGGTGGTCATCGGCATCGGTAACTCAGGAAGTGACATCGCTGTAGAAAGCAGCAAAGTGGCAGAGCAGGTTCTTGTTTCACTTGTCTTAAAACAGACTATGTCTCCAAAATCTGAATGGATGTTGATTTGGTTGCTTGTCCAACTGCAGGTGTATATGAGCACTCGTCGTGGTGCCTGGGTCATCCGCCAGATTTCTGATAATGGCCTACCTGTGGACATGAAGTACACCACAAGATTTGTTCACATCCTGTTTCAGCTGCTGCCAGTCAACATCCTAAACTGGATAAGCGAGAAAAAAATCAACTCCATGTATGATCACACCATGTACGCTCTTAAACCCAAACACAGGTAGGTGCTGTTAGGATTAGGTTCCTGGGGGGAAATTGAAAAATCCTTTAAAGGCACAATGTGTAAAACCGTTCGACTCTTTAGTTCCATGCTGTTCAGAGATGGTATTGCAGTTACGGTAGACCCAACACATTCTCACACCCGAAGCGTGGAAAAATGATGCTGGGTGACCAAGCGTTTGTTTCCGACGCGTTGGGAGTCCCAACGAGTTGGGCTTGATGAGGTCCCAACAAATTTGACGTGTCTTTCCATTCCGTTTTTTTTTTCTTTTTTCTTTTTTGTAATTCAAACTAACCAAGTACAGCAACAGTGTATACATTCTCTTCTTCTTCATAGTTGGTTTGGCAGACTTCATGCTTCCAGGGCGTACTGCTGCTGTTTCCTTTGGTCTTGTCAAAGTGCAAATGCAATATGCTATATTATATTTTGTACAAAAGCAGCTTAACAGCAGCACAATGATGCTTGACTATGGATTGTTGTCCACAGTAAATAATGTAAAATTTCAAGACCTGAGAAAAACTAATAGTAGACATTGGTGAGAAATATTAATGAAAAAGGACATGTTTGTGAATGGGATACACAGAATATGAAAGTAAACAAGTAAAATAATTACACATTGTGTTTTTAAGACTGTCATTAAAATATATCATCATGTCTACTTTGAACATCTTTTGTATGTCCGTTCTGCGTAATCCGTCAAATTCCATTGGTTCATTTCTAAACACATTGTAGGAAAGATTTGATTTACCTTTTGCTGACACGTTTTGGCTAACACTGTAGCCCTCCTCAGAGTGCCGCTGATGTTGGTGGCGGCGCTTCCTTCTCTGTTTATCTGCAGGCAGCAAACGGCAAAATAAAATTATGGAAACATTATGTGGATGACATTAGAAATAATTTCAACGGGACAAACAGAGACACTAACAGAACACCTGAACAATACCAACGACACAACAACATAAAGTTTACATATGAGGAAGAAACAGAAAGCAGCATAACTTATGAACATGAAAATAACCAGGCAGAGAGACGGGACCCTGAACATGAATACATACAGGAAACCATCACACACAGAGACCAATATTTATTGTGGACATCAGAACATCCTACCGAACATAAAATGTCAGTGATCAAAACATTATACCACCAAGCATACATAATAACAGAAGAACGAGACTGCGGACAAGAGGACCAAAAGACAAACCAACACAAAGAATCAAAAATCCTCAAAGACAAGAACCAAACCCGGTAATAACCCTTCCATACATCAAAGGCATAACAGAAAAAATAAAAACAATGAAAAACACAACATAACCACACCAACAAAACCATACATGACAGTCAGAAAAAGACTAGTACATCCGAAAGACAAGATATCAGCAAGACATATGTGTGGAGTCATTACCAAAATACCATGCTTACCTCTGGTATAAGACATACATAGGAGAAACCGGACGCCAACTCAACACATGAAAAATAGAACATAGAAAGGAGTGTGAGAAGGAACCAAATCGAAGACACAAGAGCAGTGAAAGAAGAAGCAGAAAATACAATAAAGAAATCAGCCATAACAGACCACTGCACAAGGGAGAATCATATAATGGACTGGGACAGAACATGGTTCATAAACACAGAACAACAAAAAAACAAAAGATAGATTCAAGAAGCCATAGAAACAAGGTGGGGTAGACCCAGGACCATAAACAAAGATGATGGAGTTTAAACATTGGATCGCTGATGGGACATTGTCGTCGGCAAGGACGGTGCGGGCAGTAGAGGGTAACATCTTCCTCTGCTGCCAGCGGATAAACGAAGAAGTAAGGGATGCCTCCAACATTGGCGGTGCTCTGAAGAAGGCTACAGTGTTAGCCAAAACTTGTCAGTTTGAAAGGTAAAAAATCTTTAAAGTGCTGTGTTCAGAAAATAACCAAGCAATGGGATCATTTCTGCTGTTTTGTATGCATTTTGAAAGGTTCTTCAGTCAGAACCCAGTGGTCAATGGTGACCTACCCCTGAAGATTTTGTCAGGATCCGTCATCATCAAACCAAATGTGAAAGAAATCCGTGGCTCCACGGTGGTGTTTGAGGATGGCAGCATTGCTGAAAAGGTCAGGATTGTCATAGATTTGTTTGCAAAACTTTTATTGGGCTTTTAAGGCACAATATTTAAGAAATTTTTGGTGAAGTAATCACAAAACAGTCCCTCTCAATCATGTTGGAAGGAAGATTACACTGAAACAGATTTCCTTCTCAGCCAGCCGGGGAGGGGGGTTGTCAGATTTGTTCTTTTCAAAAAAGCTAAAGAGTCATTGTTTATCATCTGTGAGCACATGGGGTCGCACCTGCAATCTCTGCTGCATTGGTAATTGTATGTTGACACGAACAGTAAAAAATCTCCAGTGTTGTTTAAAGTTGTAGAACACTTGTTTAATCAATACATTTGCAATGGTCTCTTGTAGGAATGAAAGCCTTGTGAGTCATATTCTGGGGGGAAGGGGGGTGGGGGGTGGGGGGAGCCCTGATGTGCCTGTTTCAGGATCTAGAAGTTAGCCACATCACAACTGACCTTCAGATAACAATATTTGGAGTCTTATTTTCTGATATTTGAACATCTTGCCTCAGATTGAATAACAGCAACACAACTCTACCACTGACTCTGTTTTCTTTGCAACATTGACATTTTATCTCCACAAATGACACAAGCCTGGAGGAGTTCTGCTGTGAGGTGGAGTTGCTAATGCTAATGGTAAGTTTATTCTAGTCAAGAAGTTCTCTGTTTGCTGGACGCTAAAACAACAATGGCCTTCCCAGTCACGAGTCAAGATGAATGGGTCCATTAATGTTAAGTGACAGTGTGACGTAGATCTATCAGGATTTTCAAATCCTTGAGGTTCACTGTCTGTTTTCCATCAGAAGCTAATGCAGGACATAGGTGTAGGAGACTATTTCATGTTCAGCCTGCACGAAAAACCCAAAGTCACCGATTAGAATCCATGCATCCATCCTTCCATCCATCCATTGAATGAACCCGCTTTGTCCACGTAGGGTCGCGGGGGGGCTGGTGCCTATCTCCAGTGGTCAATGGGCAACCAGGCGGGGTACACCCTGGACAGAGATGATTAGAATCAGAAATAAGAAAAAAATAAATAAAATAGTTTTTTTAGTGTACCATATCTTTAAAAAAACGTAAATTAAGCAGCCCAGAATTATTTCTTGAACCCTTAAGAAGACACTATCAGGTGAAGATGGCTAGAGGCTAATGCTGAGCTATTGCTACAGGCAAATTAGAAACAAATCTCAAACTACTTTTTCAATGACCAACAACTCAATATTACAGGAAAATGTATGTGTGATGTGAATAATGAGCCAATTGTGGCATTTTACCTCCTTTAATGAGTCCTTCAGTACCAGCTTAGTGGTGGGCTGGTATGAGTGTCTTGCCTGAGACTGGGACATTGTGGGTTCAAATCCTTAATTGGGTCATACTCAAGTCTTTAAAGATGGGACCCAACGCCTCCCTACTTCACACAGCGTTAAGGGGTTCAATAGGGGGTTGAACCACCAAATAGTTCCAGAGCGCGGCCGTGTCCACAGATCACAGCTCCCTCAAGGGATGGGTCAAATGCAGAGAACACCAGTGTGTGAGGTAACTAATGGGACTTTTATCTTAATCAGCAAGACTGCAAACAACTGCACTCACTCTAAAGCTGGAGGCATACTACCGTAATAAGTGTTTGACAATAGCATAGTTTTGTAATCGGGCCTCGGGTTGGCTGCACCTGGCGGTAAGGCGTTTCCTGTTTCCTGTTTTCAGTGTTGCACTATGTGTAGCTGTTTGGTGTTTGGGGCTCGCTAAAACTGATTTAATTTCTCTGTACTAGGATATCTCTGAGTTATTGTAGCACAAAAGCACGCTAAAACACACATTTTCTGTTGTTCCACCCAGCTTTTAGGGAACCATTTGAGTTTGCACACAGTTTATTTGGTGTTGAATAGTTTTGCTCGTCCAGTTAGCTTAGCCTCAGCACGGCTATGGCTACTTCTGTCTCTGCTTCTCCGTCTCCTATCTTTTGCTCTCTGTGTTAGATGTTTAGTTACTCCTCTGCCTCCTTTAGCGATAATGGTACGTGTAATAAATGTAGCATTTTGTAGCTTTGGAGGCGAGGGTGTCGGAATTGGAGTCCCGGCTCCGCGCTGTTGAAAAACCAGTAAACAACCGTAGCTACTTAGCTAGCGCGGGGCTGACTAGCTCAGAACCACCCCGTAGCGGTCCTCCAGCAGAACCCGAGCAGCCGGGACCTCAGGCCGGCTGGGTGACGGTACGCAGGAAGCATAGAACCCAGCCCGTGGGCCACCACCAACCTGTCCACGTTTCTAATAGATTTTCCCCGCTCAGTGACGCACCCACTGACAAGCCGACTCTGATCATTGGCAGCTCCATAGTCAGAAACGTGGCATTAGGGGCTCCAGCAACCATAGTTAAATGTTTACCTGGGGCCAGAGCGGCCGACATTAAATCTTATCTGAAACTGCTGGCAAAGGATAAGCGTAAATACAGTAAGATTGTTATTCACGCTGGCGGTAACGACACCCGGTTACGCCAATCGGAGGTCACTAAAATTAATGTTGCTTCGGTGTGTAACCCCGGCTTTCCACAGGAGCCGTCAGCTGCACGTTACTGCAGCAGCACGTCATAGCTGCTGATAGGAACCTCTGTGGTCAACAGAACCTTTTCCACTGGAGCCGTCAGCAGCCGTCAGCAGAGCGAGTCGGCCACGTCTCAGGAGCAGCATGTCGCGGCCTTTACTCGCCGGTTCTATTTTCTACCCGCGATGCCTCTGAAACGGGTCAAGTTCGACATTTTTGGGGAAGGAAAGACAGGAAATCGGACGCGGAAATGGAGAGAAGCTCCAGCTGTGAACATCTACCGAAGACAAATTCCTTGTAAATGTAATTTTACTTGGCCAATAAATCTGAAATCTGAATCTGAATCTGAAATCTCCAGAGATTTTCAGAATAAGGAAATATACTGCCTTCTGGTTGCTTTACTTTTAAAAAATGTTACTAAATGTGCGGCCCCGTGAGAAGTTATTACCTAGGTAGTGGTCTCCTTTGTTTTTCAGGTCCATATTGGCGATTTTAAAATGGACAGAACATAAAACACAAACCTTTTGGAGCCTTGTTGTAGTTTTCTCCTGCTTGTTGTTGTGTTTACTGACGAAGTCACTCGTGTGACTTCATGCTCGGTCGGTGACAGCTGCTCCCCTGCTGCTTCACGTCTCGTGGGAAGGGCCAAGCAGCAGTTTACGTGAGCAGGACGTGCTGCTGCAGTAACGTGCTGCTGACGGCTCCTGTGGAAAGCCGGGGTAAGTTTGCCAAAACAATGTCGGACTTCGTAATTTTCTCTGGCCCCCTGCCCGATCGGACCAGTGACGACATGTTTAGCCGCATGCTGTCCTTCAACCGCTGGCTGTCTAGGTGGTGTCCTGAAAACAATGTGGGCTACATTGATAATTGGAAAACTTTTGGGGGAAAACCTATTATGTGAAGTGCCTTGAGACGACTCTTGTCATAATTTGGCGCTATATAAATAAACAAATTGAATTGAACTACATATACTCCCTACCGTAAAACACTCATGAATGCTAACACCAGTTATAACAAAGTATTTTTCTACTTATCTGAACTGGGCGAAGCGTGGTGGGAGACAAGGATGGTGGTGTTCCACACACGAAGGAAGACTGGCTAGAGTTTAAGGAAAATGGGTAAATAGTGGTTCCGTGACATGATGGCGTTGATGAGGCGTGAGAGAGAAATTGAGCAGAGTGGCTGAGGAGTTAGTTAGGCACTTGTGTCGGGACTGATTGGGAAGCTGATACATGTAACATGGACCAGGAGCTCATGCATGAAAATCACACAAAGACTTAGCACTGAGTGAGAGGTGGGTGAATCCTTTGAATTATTTGGGAGGTGGATCTCCGCCCCACAGCGGGCGGGGGAAGCTAGCTATCTTGCTCAGCTAATGCTGGTTGAGCCTGTTGAGTTTCCGATATTATCAACTTAGTGCGTATGACTCGTCTTCGCTGTTGACCTAGAATTTTCTGGTGCTGAGCCGTAGCTGGTAACAACCATGAAACTCATGGAATAGTAATGAGAAAGTCCCTGTTTGTATAGAAATATGAACTGCAGACCCAACATTTGACCACAGGATGTCCTTTTTTCTTCATACATATTGCACCTTTAAGCACAATTTAAACAGACTCATCTGTTTTTTTTATGACAGGTGGATACAATCGTGTTTGCCACAGGGTACAACTATGACTTCCCCTATTTGCCAAACAATGTCATGTACAAGTCAGGGCATCGTGTTGGTCTGTATAAGCATGTTTTCCCTCCAAATTTGGAGCATCCAACTCTGGCTCTTGTGGGTTTCATTCATTCTGGGGGTTCCATCATGCCTCAGGCTGAAATGCAGGTTCGCTGGGTGGCACGTGTCTTCAAAGGTGAGATTTTAAAACAGGTGCGTATTCTTTCAAAAGTCATTTATCCATCAAATTAACTAGATATGCCCCCCCCCCCCCCCCCTTATTATTGTCTTTTTTTGCTTTCAAGGACTCAAGCAGCTGCCTTCAAACCAGTCCATGATCAAGGCTGTTGAAAAGGACACCAAAGACATTGAGAAAAAGTACAACATCTTCTCCATTATTTTTTTTAATTACCATCTTGTGATAAATAAAAGGAGAAAATGCTTTGTAAAAGGAAAACAATTCAATTTAAAATTAATCACCATAACCTGTCAAAAACAAGGTTCTGCAGTCTGAAAGTTATGTGTTTAGGCACAAAAGTGGTTTTACACAAACGTTACTTACCCCAGCCAACCAGCAGGTGATGGTAAAACACCCTGATAAGATACAAGGAGATCCACAGGTTGATAAAATGCCATACATTTCTTCTTTTTGCTTGTATAACAGCATTTTTGGGTTGTTTCCTCAGCTACGTCGTGTCCAAGTCGACACCTCTGCAGGTGGACTTTGTTTCCTATATGGACGACATAGCTGGAGAAATTGGCGTTCGGCCCAGTCTCCTCTGGCTCCTCTTCACAGACTACCTACTGTTCAAGAGGGTGTTATGGGGACCTGTCACTGCTTACCAGTACCGGTTAACAGGACCAGGCAAATGGGAGGGGGCCAGGGAGGCAATCATCACCCAGTTTGACAGAGTGTACCAGCCCCTTAAGACCAGAAAGGTCTGAATGGATTCAGATCTAACGATCTAATATTATTTTAACACACTGACTGCTTTGCTAATGCAATTGTTACATTTCTTTGTGCCATGCAGGTACCTGAGAAGGAACCATCCCTGTCTGGCCTATTGATGAAGCTGAGCCTGGCAGTCCTGGCTGTAGGAGGAGCTGTGTACTATGCAATCCAGATGCTTTATCCAACTTTCACCCACAGACAGTCAAATTAGGCATTATTGTTCAACTGATGAGAGAGAAACCCAGATGTATTGTGCTAACATGCACATTTTTTGCTAAAAAAAATTAATTCATGTTTGTTTTGTGATGCTGATTATTAAGATTACGTAAGCATCTGAACTATGAGCACCTAATAGGAAAATCATTGTATCTTCATTTTTACTTTAAGTCCTTGAATTGCAATAAATATTTCACTAAATAAACTTCAGACTAAGTATACGAGCTTCGGTTTTCTTGAACACAACAAACTTCATGTTGGTTGTTGCTGTAATATATTTACAAATTGTCTTCAAATGAGACTTTTTTTCTCTTGACAAAATCCTATATCTTTACCAGCTGATAGTGTGTGAAATCACATTGACTTAGAATTTAGAATAATGCTGTCAAAACAAAAGAGAACATAGAAAGTAAATGTAATTTAGTTTTAGATGTAGCTAGTTGAAGCTGCTATAGCAAGTTTGGAAAGCATATTAACTTAAAACACTTTTTCATGCCTCTTCTAACATGTATAGCTATGAATATATTGTTGACATTTAAAAATGAAGAATAATCATGTGATTCTGTCACATTTGTCTAAAATCCTCCACCAATTTTGGTCCAAAAGCACCTATTGGACCATCCATTTATCGGTCTCGCTGAACCGCTGCAGTTCCCTGCTTCCTCCATTCATTTCACACTCACATAATTTTGCAACAAAATACCGCTGAAGTGAGAGATTCACTGCTCAATAATATTAGAGAAGAAACAGCCAGCTGCTACCACTTCAACTTTAGGGCAAACTACCAGATTCCCAAAAAGAAAAACACCATTTAAAGCTATGGACATCACATGGGTCAAAATTCTCACGCAGGAAGTAGAAGGCTTTACCAAGCACATTAATGCCATGGACAAGAACATCAAGTTCACCAGGGAAAATGCACACAACAACAAATGCCCTTCTTGGACTCCTATGCAATTTGAACAAGATGGAAGTCTCAGCATTGAAGTCTACAGGAAACCAACTCACACAGACCTGTATTTGCATTTCGACTCACATCACCCACTGGAGCACAAAATGTCAGTCATCAGGACTTCACACCACCTCGTCAGGTCAAGACTCTGCAGTCTACCTACAACTGAAGGAAAAGGGACACACTTTTGAAAATGACAAAGTACACATTCTGGACAGAGAAGATAGATGGTTTAAGAGAGGAGTAAAAGAAGCAATCTATGTCAAACGTTAAAAACTCACTTTTAACAAGGGGAGGAGCTTAGATTTCCCCTTTCCAGCACCTGTAATGCAGCTTTGAATCTCATGACTTTACTATAACTGGAGAAAAGGAAAACCATTACTTAAAATTCAAAAGGTTTGAATGTTTTTTTTGTTGTTGTTTTTTTACAAAGATTCTTTGGGAAACTTTTGAATAAGTACAGTTATTCCAGACTTTTGCAGTATTATCAGATTGTAGTAGCAGAAATCATTAAATTTAAATTTGCTTCTACGAGCTGCAGGTCATTTGTAATTTTGGAGCCTTGAACAAAACTTAAAATACAGCTTTTGTTCCTTGTTCTTCTAAGAACTGATGTATTTTAGGACAGCATGAGTAATTAGAATCTGATAAAGGTGAACAATGGCTGAACCATTAGTTCTTCAGAACCTGCACAAACAAAAGTCCTTTAATCATCTAATGCAGGCTTTGTGTGATCAATGAGGGCAAAGGTTGCCTTCAGGTTTATGGTGATAAAGTATTTAGAATAAAATATAATGTAAAACTAGAATGTGCTGCAAAATTTCATTTATCACCAATTCAACTTAAAAGGTGAAACTAATATATGAAACTAATTATATACAAAACCAGAAATTTCAAAACTTTGTTTAATATAATTGTGATGATTATGGGGCAGCAGTATCTCAAGAGGTAGAGCGGGTTGCCTTATGATTGGAGGGTCATAGGCTTGATTCCAGCTCCAGCATTCTGCTGTTGTACCCTTGGGCAAGACACTTTACCTTCACTTACCTGCGTTGGTTGTGGTCAGAGGGGCCGACGGCGCCAATTGACAGCCTTGCCTCGGTCAGACCGCCCCAGGACAGCTGTGGCTACATACATATGAATAATGGTAAGAAGAAGAAGATGTCACAGACAGAACTCAGAAGGACCCGTAATGACACCAAACACTGTAAAGCACCTTTAAAAGTCTTTATTTTATGTGCAGTTACCAGAGGTGGGCGAGACTGAGGCAGAGTCAGGAGGAAGCATGGGTCAAAACCAGAGAGATCCGTGAATGCTACAAGGGGCAGGCAGGAGGCAGAATACAGAGAATTGTCCGAAGGTCGAGAATCCAGGGGGTCAGAAGCAGAGAACAATCCAGGCAGGGAGCAGGCACGTGGGCAGGTAGAGATACAGGAACAAGGTCAGGATCTATGATTCAGGCAGAGGTAAGGAGTGCTGGAGAATTTCCTGGTGTGAGCTTTACAATAATCTGGCAGAGACTGGGTAGCTGAATGGATCTTTTATAGCAGGGGAAGCAGGTGTGTGAGATGAGTTGAGGAGTCAGGAGCAGGTGAAGAGGACGAAGCTGATTACAGGAACAGGTGAGATGAATGGAGTTGATGGTGGTTGCCAGGGAAACAGGGCTTGTCAGGAGCTTGATGAGGGGACCAGGTGAGCTGAATGAAGGCTGAAAAATGAGTCATGACAGAACCCCCCCCCCCCCCCCCCCCCCCCCCATCAAGGGCGGATTCAAGACGCCCAGAGGAAACCAGAGCAGGGCGGGAGGAGGGGGACCAGGAAGAAGGGCCAGAAGAGTCTTCGGGGCCGGCAACGGGGAACCAGGAGCCGGGACTGCGGGAGTCTGGGGGGCCGGCGACGGGGAACCAGGAGCCGGAACTGCGGGAGTCTGGGGATAGAGTACACTGGAGGACGAGGACTAAGAGGGGACTCTGGACTAAGACTAAGAGGGGACACTGGACTACGACTAAGAGGGGACACTGGACTACGAGGGGACTCTGGAGACTGGGGGGACAGAGGGAACTCTGGACTGCGACTAAGAGGGGACTTTGGGCTAAGAGGGGACTTTGGAGACTGAGGGGACAGAGGGAACTCTGGACTGCGACTAAGAGGGGACTTTGGGCTAAGAGGGGACTTTGGAGACTGAGGGGACAGAGGGAACTCTGGACTGCGACTAAGAGGGGACACTGGACTACAAGGGGACTCTGGAGACTGAGGGGACAGAGGGTACACTGGACTACGACTAAGAGGGGCAGTGGCGGTTCGACATCGAATTACTCACCGGGCGAGGCCCCCTTTGAGCGCCCCCCCCAACCACCCCCACCACCACCACCACACCACCCCACCTGCAAGAACACATGCATGTTTTCTACAAACAGGCATGTTTTATTAGAACGACAATTGAACATTCATTTTTCTAAGTTGCACATATTTACATTAATTACTATGAAGCTGTCAGAATGTAAAGCACTATACATTATATACTGTATCAAAATATATAGAATCAAATATACAAAAACAAACAATAACTAAATATTAAGAATATATGAACATAATAGATAATAAATATTCTAAATAGCAAAAATATTTCACACATAACAAACTAAAGATAATCACTACAGCATTGCACTTAGAATAGAAAACACAAACTAAAATTAAAACCTAAACTTGATGCAACGTCATCAATAATGTCATCACAGGAAATCTGCTCCCCTACTGAGTGATTGATACTAATCAGAGCCAGGTTAGTGAGCCGCCCCTGAAACATAGTTGACCTCAGGTATGACTTGATCAAGTTTTGAAAAACTCCTCTCAGCTGGAGCCACAGTGACTGGCAGAGCAGTCCATGATCCATAATATTTTAGAATTGCCTCTGAAATTGTAATTTAAACTGACATAAAAAACTGTAGACTACCAAAAATGTCAACTTTTACAGAACAAATCTTGTAAAAAATAATCAGTGCAGCCATCTGCAATAAATAAACAGGATAGTTAGTGGTGACTGGGGAGTTTTCTTCTGCTTGTAGAGTTGTTTTATTTATTATTATGTGAACATGATCAACATGTGTTTGTTGTTGTTCAGGCAGGCCACAGGCTGCAGCGAGCATTTAACAAATCCTAGTTTGAATCAGTAAAAAACGATTCAAGGACTTTTTTCGAACCATTTGAATATTTGTTTCAATATTTCAGCCCTATTAGCTCTGTTAGCAATTAGTTGACCGCATTTAACCGTTAAAATCCCAGTTAACTGGTTCAAAAAATTGAAAACATGCATCATGAGAGCTACATACCTTTATCTTTCTCCTCTTTTTTCTTTTTTTCCCCCTGAATCGAGCACTTGGTGGTTTTTTTATGTTCATCTCTTCTGTTTGGCTCCTGACTCAGTAAGTTTCCTTTAGTCAGGACTAAACTATTTGACCTTGATGGGGGGGGGGGGGGGGGGGGGGGGGGGGTGACCACAAAATCGTTTTGTTTTTCCTTTTTTTATTCGGCCATTTCACACAATTCAGAGAAACCTGAAAGAATGATAGGCCTGTGTTTATGATATTATGAATGAAATATGGAAGAACGTTAAGATGTGATTGACTTTAGCCATGTTAATACAGTTGATTCAGCCCCTGCACGCTCATTTCATTTGGGAAAGACGCAGAGGTGAATTCCCCCGCCGAACCCCTCCCCTTCCTCTTCTTCATAGACACACGGTGCACGTGAACGTTCTCAGTCAGCAGGAGCGCCTGCAGGGGGCGCCAACTTGCTGTTTCCAATCCAGACACTGTCATATGACAGATAATAGAAAACCTCGGTGCGGCGCAGATTTCCTTTTTTTTTTTTACTCAGCGCTTGTGCGCCCCTTTTGTGTCATGAAAAAATGCCGCCCCGGGCAACTGCCCTGTATGCCCGTGCCTAAAACCGCTACTGAAGAGGGGACACTGGACTACGAGGGGATTCTGGACTAAGACACTGAGGACGACTAAGAGGGGACACTAGAGGCTGAGGGGACAGAGGGAACTCTGGAACTGGTGGGGACGTAGACTCTGGGACTGGTGGGGACATAGACTCTGGGACTGGTGGGGATGTAGACTCTGGGAATTCTGGAGACTGGAACACTGGGGACGTAGACACTTGAGGGGACGTAGACACTGCAGGTGGCGGCTCGGGAGGCACCTTAAACTTGGCTGGCGAGGACGCTACAGGAGTGGGCCCTGCAGGTGAAGACTCTGCAGGCTGGAACTTTGGGGATGGGGAGACGTCGACTTCAGAGCTGGACGGGGAGACGTCAACTTCAGAGCTGGAGACGTCGACTTCAGAGTTGGAGACGTTGACTTCGAGACTGGAGGCGTCGACTCTTGAACAGGCTGGACTGGAGACGAAGACTCTTGAACAGGCTAGACTGGAACCTCATGGAAGGGCTGAGCAGGATGCGATGCATCCTCCGGGACCACC